GTTAAAGAGTCAATCTGGTCCACTCCAAATCTCCAAAAGTTTATAGTGACAGTGTTGCAATCCGGAAACCACTGTCTCTCACACCCTTTTTACTCCTAAGTGACTTCAGCAGTCTCTTTGGGATAGATGACTGTGATGAACAACATAAAATGACACATCCATATGACTTTTCCTTAAGTTCCACTTCTCCCGATGTTTTATAACGTAAAACTTGGTGTCTGTTGGGAAATTCTTCATTCTTCAAAGGCCCACTCACTTCCCTTTAATCTCTGCTCTCTATATGGAAAAAAAAATATGTCAACTATGTAATGGAGGACTATGGCATTTATTTGGGGCAAAATCTTGAGATCTTAAGAGGCATGTTCTAGTAATCAGGATGACATAGATCAATAATTCATAGTATTTTGCTATGTTGTGTTTCACAGTCTAAGACCTGGAGCTGTGTCTATTTCTGGTTTTGTTTTGTTTTGTTTTGTTTTGTTTTTGGAGGAATATAGATTCTTTTTAACACGAGATTTTTGTAGCTTTCTATTATTTTTTTTCCTTTTTTCCCCTTTATATTTTTTACAACATTAACCAGAAGTAATACCTCTTACAAAATTCCAGAGTTTTGTATATTTAAGCATTTGTTTAGTGGCTTCTTATCATTTATTTTACAATTTTAAAATTATCTTTCCACTTGTCTGTCTCACAAAGTCAATCATAAGGTCCTTGAGATCTGTTTTTTATTAATGATTTTTTTTAAAGTTTTGTTTTTCTATTTCAAAACTTAGATTCTTTAAGGTTCAGAATAAAAAACAAGAATAGCTGTTTTCTCGTTTTCTTAAGTGGACTCAACTTAAATCAATTAATATCTCACTTTAAAATAGTTATATTAAGAAAGGTTGAAGGTCTATTGTGGAGAGTAATATAATGATAACATTTACTTCTAGATGCCAACTAGATAAACTGGTAATGACTTGTGTAGAAAATGTTAAAAATGAGATGCAGAATAGATGTAAGAGCTCTGCAAGAATAAATTCTAATCTGTACAAGTGAAAGTCAATATATTCATTAAGAACTTAATAGTCACCAAGAGAATAAAAAGATGACATTTAAAGTGGTCTATCAAGTGATATAGAAAAATATTACTATAAGGAAGATAATGACAAATATTATATGAAAGGTATTTAAAAAAAAAACTTAAGGTGACTTCTCAGGTGAAGTTAAAACCCATCTCAGAGCCTTCTTATTTGCTATGCCTGCCTGAAATGTTTTTCTCTTAGGCTGCCTTCTTTCAGGTCTTAGTTTAAACGCTCTCTTGGAGAAAACATTCCTGCCTACTTAAGCTAAAGTAACCCCCTCCCATGTAGATTCTCATCTTCACAGTATTGAAGAAACTCTGAAAATAATTGAATAGTGTCGCCCACCCCCCAAGCACATACAAGATAATAGAAGTTCCTAGACAGCAGGGAATTTTGTTTTCATTACTACTTTATCCCCAGTAGCTAACAGAAAAGATGCTCAATAACTATTTGTTTGATAAACAAGGGAATAAACAAGGAACCATATAACTTTTGACAATTAACATTTACCAGAAAAAGATGAAATGGAGAAGTAGAATAAGAAGGTAAATGCTTTGAATACCAGGCTAAGGAGTTTATGGTATGGTTTTTAAAGCACTCAGAAATCACTGAAGATTCTTTGGACCCAGAAAACAAAATGACCAGATGGGTAATTTAGGAAAATAAGTTTCAGTGCCAAGTAGTAAGGTATTTAAAGAGAAGGAAGAGCCTGAGAGGTGATACCAGGTAGGAGCTTTCCACAGTACTATGTCAGGTAAAGGATGACAGAACATGAACTGAGAGCACAGAGGAGCAAACACATTTCCAACAAAGTCAGAGGTATYTGAGAGCTAAACATGAAGAGATGAAAAAAATAACAGTGATCAAAAGAAATTCATAAATCCACTCTGACAAGCACTTATCAGGTTATAATGAAGAATGTGTTTTACAAAGATAAATACCTTAGAAAATTGTCTTATAAGTCCAATCAATATCATGGTGTGTATTCTTTGGTGTCTGAAACATCTGAGGCGAAGAATCCAGTAATAACAAGGGTGAAGCTGGATTCTGTGATTTGGATATGACATAATTCTATCTCCCCAAAGGTTCATGTGTGAAAAAGGCTTGGTTCCAAGGTGGCCCTATTGGGAGGTGGTGGAACTTTTAAGAGGAGGGGTCTACTGGGAGGTCCTTAGTTCACTGGAGGCATGAGATAATTCCCATGCAACCCCTCAAGTTCTTGCAAGAGCGTTGTTATAAAAGGAGCAAGCCTAGCCCCCCCTCCTTCCTCTCTGCTCCTGACTCCAAATGTAATTGCTAATTGTTCTGCACGCCTTCCCTCCCATTATTGCAGTCTGTGCCATGAACAGCCAAGGGGCAGCCCTCACCAGAGAACTCATGCTATGCCATGTGGACATTTAGCTTCCAAAACTGTGAACTAAATAATCCTTGTTTTCTTCATAAGTGGCCTATGTCAGTATTTCATATGGTAACAAAAAGCTGACTAATACACTTACTGGAAAAATTATATATATAATAAAGGGATTATTAGATACTCTTGAATCTCAAAATCCAAACAACAGAAATGTTGCTATCTTAGACCGAAGGTGACAGAGATGGGATAAAATTTWAAAATCATCAAACTTGTAGGATTCTACAGATCAGACCAATAGAGCTATCCGACTGCAAACAACATAACCAGGATCATGAGTCCAGGATTCAGGGATGGAAATAGAAAGACACTAGGAAATTATCTACTAGTAACATTTTTACTTCTCATTCCTGTACCCTTATGATCTGCTGGCTTGGAGTTTTCTCTCCAAAGGGGAATTCTTCCACTAGGAGAGACAAGTATGATTCTGTTGTACTAGAAATTAAAACTGTCACATGGTTACTTTGTATTCCCATACCTCTAAGTTATCAGAGAGTTACTGTGCTGGCTGGGGTGGYACTGACTAGCCAGGATGATTAAAATGATACTTGAGAGGCAAGGAAAAGTGAGTCTGGAATACAGGAGATCCTTTATGGCATCTCTTAGTATTACCATTWTCTGTTATTAAAATCAATGGAAAACTACAACAGCCCACTCCAGGTCCAGACCAATCAGGAATAAAGATTTGGGTCACCCACAGGAAAAGAACCTCAATTGGGTAAGGTGCTTGCTTAGGGCAAAGGGGATAACAGATTGGGCAGTAGAAAAAGGTTATAAATACCARCTATGAACATGTGACCAGTTATAGAAGTGAGGATTGTAAATAGCATGAGAGGGTCTTCCTCACTTTATTATGAATGTTTTATGTGTGTTTACTGACATATCTCATCATGTAACATAAGATATACTACTTTTGTATCCTAAGTATTGTTAATTAATATAACAGTCCTTAAGTTAGGGAATATCGAGAAGAATAAACCTCACCCAAGGAATTCTTCTGGGGAAACAGTCCATGCATTTTCAGCTGTGCACCAAATTGTTATTTCATGGGAGGCTGAAGTAGAACCTTGTTAGAGTCTTTATTTAAATATTAAATATGGTTTAATATGCATGTAGGTGTCACATTGACAGCGGATGATAGTTTTGTGGTGGTTAATTTTTTGTAACAAGTTGGGTGGATCACAGTGCACAGATATTTGGTCAAGCATTATTTAGGATGCTTCTATGAAAGTGCTTTTTGGATGTAATTAACATTTAAGGTGGTRGATGCTAGTAAAGTAGTTGATCCTCCATAATGTAGGTGGGCCTCATCTAGTCAGTTGAARGTCTTAYAGAACAAAGAGGGACTTTCCCTGAGCAAGAAGGATTCTACCAGCAAAATACAACTCCTTGCTTCGTCTCGAAGTCCACCAATCTACTGCATATGCTTTTGGACTCACCAAATCTCACAGTTGCAAGAATCAATTCCTATAATAGATAGATAGATATATAGATAGAAATATAAATATAAAGATGTATAATTGTCCTTTGGTATCCATGTAGGACTGGTTCTGAGGTCATCCAAAGAAGCCCAAGTACATATGTTCAACTCTCTTACATAAAATGGTGCAGTATTTGCATATAAACTATGCATATCTTCCYAAGTGCTTTATATCATCTGTAGATTTTTTTAACAATACCTAATGCAATGTAAATAGTTGTTATACTACATAGTTTAGGGAACAATGACAAGAAAAAAAGTCTGTACCTGTTCAGTACAAGAGAAATTATTGTAGCTATTATTATTACTATCATGATCATTATCGACATGATTATTTTGACACTCAGGATTGAACCCAAGGGCACTTTGTTACTGAACTACATCCCAARCCAKTAGTATTTTTTATTTTGAGACAGGGTCTCACTAAGTTGCAGAGGCTGTCCTCAARYTTGTGATCCTCTTGCCTCAGSCTCCTGAATCACTGGGATTACAGGCATGAGCCACTACACCTGGCACAGATACAATTATGTTTCTGAATAGTTTTGATTCACRTTTAAGTCTTTTCTTCCTGTATAGACAACAATTTGCTTGAGGACTAAGATTAGAGCTTAAAATCCTTTGTCTTTTCCCTTCAGAGTTCAAAGTTCTTGTTAGGTACTCAAAATATGTTTGCTGAATCAGTAAGAAATAAGTAGTAAGATACCATGAGCATACTATAAGAACTAGACAGCACCCTAGTTAGATATAGAAAGATAATTCTTCTCTGGGAGGACAGAAATATGTCATTGCATTAAGGTTTTCACATTGGGAATTTCATTAGCAGTCATTGGAAATCTTCCCAAATGCCTATTCCCGCCCTACATTTCTTCCAAAATAACATTTTGGCTCAATAAGTCATGCTTCAGTGAACTTGTAATTACTTATAACACATTTTATCTTTCCATCATCTGTGCACATTAATTCTAAGCAATGATGTTATTCTATGACCACACAAAGGTGTCCTGTAATGAGCATATAAAATCTCTCCATCTCCAAGTGCACTTACGCCATACTCTCGGGCTCTACSGCACAAGCACCAACTGCCTTTGTGACATTCACAAGAAGAGCCTGGTTTATTCCAACGAGGAGGTTCACCAGCGGTTGAATGCCACCACATCTCCGGACAATGACTCGGTTTTCATGTTCTTGGCAGCATTCTCCCAAGGCCCCGACCACATTCACAAGTACTTCTTCGGGTTGATCAGTTAAAAGTCCCACCAAAGTTTCAATGGCTTTGTATTCCCGAAACCTAAGATCATCACAAAAGCATGAGACATTTGGCTACTATATAGTTGCAATTATCAGCTCGATTTATGCTGAAAGTAATGTTTCTCTAACAGCTAAAAATTACTAAATGCCAATCACATTCTTATTCAATCCTTACAGAACTCTACAATGTAGGTACCATTATCRGATGGCCAATCTGAAGCTTGGTAAATATGAGGCTGCCATCCACAGCSAGCCATTTGCTCCAGATTGTCTCTGGGTTACTAAGCTGAACAGCTTGTAAGACAGTTACGGTTCTGATCACATGTTAGTTCTGCAATTTCATTCTGCTAAGAGTTTCCCCTGTCTTAYAGAGAGGTAATTTTACGTGGACAAAGTATACTAAATATTTCATGAAAAAAATGACATATTTTTATTTATAAACACATTAAACATAACTTTTTTGCACCTATTTGGGTTTAATAAGTCTCCCAGAATTAGTAGCTTGTGCTACTTACCTTAATAAAAAAATTGTCAACTTCAGATATCTTCAATATTATATCTTCAATATAACTAACCATTATATATTTTAGCATCTCTCTTATTGTGCAATTTTGCTGATTATTTAATTATATTTTAAACCAAAAGAAAGTATGATTTATAAAGGTAAATATTTGAAAATCAATAGTTTCTGTAATATAACATCTTTCCCCCTTTCTAATAAATTTCAGCAGTGTTTTCTAATAAATTTGCAGCTGAATTTTTACTGCTGAAATATGGTGGAACATCTAATTAAGATTAAAAAATAATTAGTTGAGCTAACMCTGATTTTGTCACAACTTCATTATACATTCTTTACTAAGTATGTTTATTCTGAGTYGGGACATATGAATTTCCTGTTAAAGGAACTCATCAGATAGAGATAAGAAGGAGGTGTCTTAGAATACTCATTGAAAGTGTGAACTCTAAACATATATWAAAAAAGAGTTAAATTTGAAGGTTAAAATAAATAAAAATTTTACAAGCACTTTGAAATAACAAAATAAAATTTCAAAGAAATCACTTTTGAAAACAACTACTCCAGGAGTGGTTCGTTGGCATTCTGCTGACTCATCTGTTTATCTTTAGAATAGGAAAAAAGGATGAAAACTCTTTCATCTCTAAAGATTCAGTRCATGACCAATAGGATTCTGCAATCTGTACACTCAGAAAAATGAGAAATTATATCCCATCCAATTCAAATGTTAAAAAAAAAAAGATTCAGTGGAAAATTTATTCTTTCACCTTGATAAGTCTTCTACAGGAAACAGCAAAGATACTTCTGTTTTAAATGAGTGTCCATAGGCCAAACAGCCTATTCACCTAGAAAGGTCACATCAGCAAAGCCCTTCACCCTACTGAGGTACATCAATCATTGTCTTGTAGTGACGCATTGAGAAGGGTCCTTCATTTCTAAGGATCCCTCGTGCTGCCAACTTAACCCAGAATGTACATTTTTGAATAACATTAGAGCCACCCCTTTATGAAAATAGCACTGAAATTCCAAGCATGTGTTTCCTTGGCCTTATCTTTATTACAGAATATCGAGTGCCTTCTCTTACTTGATCACATTCTCTTTGCTGATGGAGCATTTCCATATGGCCCCTGTGACAGCAGCCAATAACTCTTTATTCTTAGTGTTATTGAGTAGATTGGCCAGCGGTTTAAGTCCTCCATGGAGCCTCACCAGGTCACGGGTTTCTTCATCTTCAGCACACTGTACAAAAAGTCGAATGAGAAGCTGTCAGTGATAACGCCTYTCTCCAGCATTCAATGATTGCTGGCAAGGCTGGTCGTCAGCTTATGATGGTTCCACTTAGGTTTTTTCAACTTCAGGGTGGCATGAAAGTGCTATGTACCCAGTAGAATCCTTCCTTCAAATTTTCAATTTTTATCTTTCCTGGGTAACTGATCTGCAGTACAATCCTCTGTGATGCTGGGCAGCAATAGTGAGCTGAATCTTTCAATCATTCACACAATTAAGATGGCGAACAACCAATGTGCTACAGGAGACTAAACTGTGATGTTCAGTAAATTAGTTATTTTTAACACACATCAATATTTTCAACTTATCATTGGATTATCAGGCTATAATTCCATCATAAATCAAAGAGCATAGAAACTATGAAACTTCTTTTCACAAAGTATCATTTTCTGAAGATGTATCCAAGCAAAATTTAATAATTCTTCCCCAACACCAACAGCTATCTGGTGATATCTCTATCCCCTTACACAGTTCTGGGAATGCACAGCAGTTTTTACAAACTTGGCAATTCTCCCAAGCCAATTCTGGGGTAGCCTGGGCATCTACAGAGCTAGAGGCAAAGTTCAGTAAGAAAAAAAAAAAACTAGAATACTCCCATGCTTGGAGAAGGATGTCTACAGTGAGACACGCAGAGTTTTAGGAAAATATAATGGAGAAGACAGACAAATGACAGGGAGGTAGTCAGACCTTGAATGACCCTTGAAATCTGAAGACAAAGAATTTTCTCAGTAGAGTTTCTGTGCTCAGAGAAGTGGATTTTATCAGTAGTACCTGACATTTTAATCAAATATTTGTGCATGTTTGTTTCATCCTCTGGAATAAATATTGACTATATAAATACATCCAACTGATTATTATTCTCAGATTAAAGAGCCAACACATGAGACATTCATGATTGATTTGCCTTTTATCCTAAGCATACAATTGTTTTCTGATGCTATATGTCCTGTGTCATCAATGAGGGCCACTAGAAGAGATCCTCACCATAATGCCCCATAGAGTTACACTTGCTATATTTATCTTCTGAGTTATGATTTCTGATTCTGGTTCAGTGGCAAATTTTAAAAAATAGTCACAATTTCTAAACAACTCTTAATGGCTTCTCATATGAGAGTTATGTCAAGGCCATAAATCCTTGTTATGGACTGAAGTGTGTCACATGTCAATGTCCTCTCAGTACCTCAGAATGTGACTGTATATGGAGGCAGGGTCTTTAAAGAGGTAATTARAGCTAAATTAGATCATCGGGATTTGGTCCAATCCAATAGGATGTTCTCCTAGTAAGAAAAGATTGACACAGGCAGACACACAAAGGAAACATCACATGAAGACACAGGAAGAAGATGGCCATCTATTAGCCACTTATTCAAGCCTGGGAGGGAGACCTTAGAGGAAACCAACCCTGCCGATACCCTGATCTCAGACTTCCAGCCTACAGAACTGTGAGGAGATACATTTCTGTTAAGCCATCCAGTCCCTGGTACTTTGTTATACAGCCCTAGGAAACGAATCCAATCCCCTACTGAAAGGAGTAATGGGTATTTTTCCTCTAGAAAGGCTACTCTGGGTGGGTAGAAGCTGGTGTGATCAGGAATGAGCCAGAAACTCATTTGTCAAGGCCATCTTTCCCTCTTTATCATTCTGGTTTATGATAGACTATGAATATTATAATTTACAAAAAATAATGAAAATTAAATTATGAAAAGATAAAACAGGCACACACTCACACACACATAAACACACACACACCCACACCATCATGTTTGATAGTGATAAATTTCTCAAGATTACTGTGTTTGAATAGGCTGTGCRAAAATCAATACAGGAGTACTATATACTTACTTAGCGATTATATACTAAATAAATTATTTTAGGAAACACAGATATATATATGTCCTTTTGGGCAGGRGGTACTAGGGGTTGAACTCAGGGGCACTCAACCACTGAGCCATATCCCCAGCCCTATTTTGTATTTTATTTAGAGATAGGTTTCTCACTGAGTTGCACAATGCCTTGCCATTGCTGAAGCTGGCTTTGAACTCATAATCCTCCTGCCTCAGCCTCCCAAGCCACTGGGATTACAGGCATGTGCCACCACACCAGACAATATATATGTCTTATAGAAGTGTAAGTAATCAGATATATTGAAGCATGTTTACTCTGACATATACAATAAATACAGCATCCACCATTATGTCAGGACAGTGGTTCTCAGAACTATTTGGGGATGAAAATCTCTGAGATGCTTTCTTAAAATTCAGATTCCTGAGTCCCCTTCCCAGAGAAGGGTCATGTGTTTAGAAACATTTAGAAATACTCCTGTGAGCTAGATGAGAAAGAACACCAACAGAGGCGGAAGAGTAGGCTCCTACCTGGTAAATGGCCATGGCACAGTGCTCCTGCAATTGCTCATTCTCACTATTTAGATTCTTCACTAGGTTTTCAATGATCTTTTCAGCTTTGATTGCAGCTCGGTAGTTTTCCTAGGAATATGAGCTTAAATATTTATGTGTGTAAAATGCATGAATATAATTAGCCATTTACGTTTATTAATAACTAYGATGAGCAAACTTTCTAAGTAAATAAACACTGAAGTCAAAGTTGAACRTAGTTATACCATAAGAGAATTAGCCAACATTGAAGTTTGATCTTTTTCTAATAGAAAGCTAATATTTTGAAAAAAAAATCCTGAACAGCTATGTAATCTTAAAAATTATTATTTTTAACTAAAGAAAGTCAAGGTAAGAAAAAAAAAGGAAGCTGAATTGGTTTGTGTACCTCTGATGCACATTCTTGCAGTGTCCCCACTACCGGAATTAACATATTTTCATGAGAGGTCTTCAGTAACTGAGCCAATAAAGGGATGCCCCCTGCTTTACGAATGGCTTCTTTATTTGAATGACTCTTACTGCAGCTCCACAGTGCCAAAGCCCCACAGCGAGCCACTTCCACATCTCTGGTTTCATACAGACTTGACTGAGCTGGTTCTGTTGAATTCTGGGCACAGTCTAGTAAAGCAACCTACAAGAAGAGATGAATGCAATGAACTTGGATGTCTTTAAAACCTAATTCACCCTTCAATAGCCACAAGGTTGCTACCAAGCTCACCTCCATCATCACCTTTTAAAAATCAACATTTATACTACACAGCAAAGAGTGAAAATAAAGAAACAAACAAAACCCTTCAAGACATTTTCCTCCAGATTTGGAAGCTCTTTTATTTTCTTCCAAAAAAAAAAATCTCACCAAGACAGTATTTTCTAAATAGGGCTCTAATATTTATATTAATAATATTTATAAAAAAATTCTCAGTCTTTCTTGTACTTCAGAAAACTAAGCTTCCTAAAACCATTAGAACTTTCTAATGAGAAATGAATGATCTAAACACACTTAATACCATGAGAACTTTAGGAAGCACACAGCCTTCTACGTGGGTTACTAAAACCAAACGGCACAGCTGCCAGCATCCTCCTTGTCCTTTGTAATAATCAAAGTCACTGGAGACCTTAAGGAAAAGACAATTTACTAAAAGGATACAGTAGTAGGTCAGGTTGTCTCTGGGAGAAAGAGAAGCCAGACCTCCCAGAGCTGTGACTGGAACCACAATAAGAAGCTACCTGCCGTTCTTCTGGGCTCACTATCTTTATATCAGAGGACACTGGTGCCATCATCTACTCCATTCTTCTTTGTCTATTGGTCAAATTCCTTGGCTACTGCCCACCTATTCATGCTGCCCTTTATCCTAAATTTAGAAAGGAGTAACCCAGACTAAGTAGAGTCTCTCAATCCCAATTCCAAATTCCTGGGACTAGCATGAGTAGACAGTTACAGACTCATAACAAATGGCTTAAGGAAAGACAGAGGCCAGGCAAAGGGAGGGAATGTTCACATGGTTTCTAACTACAGACTACAAATGGGGTAGCAATGCAGGAAAGGAATTCTAAGACAATGGGACTGAACACAAGGCAGACAGCCTAAGAGTATCTTTCTACTACAGCTATTCCCGMATTATCACAATGAAGTCCAAACTCTTTAACTCACTGAATAAAGCGCTGAGTGAGCACCATGGCCTTTCCACCTTTATCTTGCTAGTTTACTCATCTCACCTTGACTCTGGCCATATTAAGTCACTTGCAATTTCTACTCAATGATGTTTCTTAGCTCTGGATCTTTACCAACATTCCTTATCTTCCTGAAATGCCTTTCCCCAGCAGGTGTGCCTGACAAAACTTACCTCCCCAAACCTTGGTAAGCAATATCTCCCCCKCTTGAGACTTTCTGAACCTTCTTCCCCCTGGTAGAATCAACTGACCATCCCCCTCCTTTGTTCCTCCACTATTCTCTGTACTGGCTTCAGTTAAATAGCTGAAGCTCACCCCAAGTCTTATAGTTTCATCTCTCTCCTCCCTACCCCCATACTCTTTTCTTCCATTAGATTGTGACATCACGAGAATCAAGGGAGGACATTTGTTTCTTTTCCCACTACCTGATTCTTTACCTGCCTCCACACTGCCACTTAGGGATTGTCAGGAATGTTTGCCACTAAAAAGGTAAGAGGAACATGGAAACAGGCCATGGTACTGACAGCACTGGTGGGCCCACTGGTGGGTCCATCTAAGTGATCATCACTGAGACCTGGTAATGTTTCCCTAGATGGATGCATTCTCCCTGCTTGCTCAGACTTTGTGTCTTTTGCCCTGTCATCTGTTGCCCAGTCTTCAGAGACTGACCTCCATCAGGTATCCAAAACACACCGTGGCCAGTACCACCTACCTGCTCTTACCCTACCCTAGCCTCAGGGTCCTTGCTCTGAGGCCATAACCAGCCATGGTACACTTCTGTTTCGAGTCATCTTGCTCACTTCCAGTTTTAGTTGGGGACTATTATCTATGTGTTACCTAGTACTCCTTCCCCATGCCACGCAAACCAAAAAGTAGATCCTAAATCCATTCTAATCTTTCCCAGGTGTATTCTCAACCCAGCAATTGCAAGTCTATTATTCTTGGTTTATCCATTCTTGGTCATTCCTGTTTCCAATTTAGCTATCATTTAAAATTATATTAAAATGTGTGTTATTATCTTGATTGGGTAAGTACAATTGTTCAAATACCAGTTCCCCAAATGTGATGCAGAAAACTCTCAAAAAACATGTTTCAGTTTTATTTTGCATTATTCATTTTTATGATTTAATGGAAGCAGTTCCAGTCAACAACCATATCAATCTACCATATGATTTCAATATTTAAGCAAAATGATAATGATCATAGTGATGATTACATTTCTCAACATTTAATTATAATTTTTTCAAAGAAAAACTAATAGAATTGTTCAGCAATTGCACAATAAATATTCATATTTCCACCACCTAGAGTCTATAAAATCTTCTGTATATGGTTTATCACATATGTTTTCATCTATCTATCCAAACATGTTATCTCATTTTGAAGTACTTTGCAATGACAATTGATCACACAGAAGATCTCTCAGTAAATTTCTGAATACACTTCTCACTATACATATTAACATTAAAATCCATATTCATCCAATAAATATTAACCCTTTGTATAAGGTAGTGGCCCAATGCTGTGAAAGGCACTAAGATATGTTCAAGAACTTAAGGTAAAGAAATGGAGACCATCCAGAAAGATAAAAGCTGTGGAAGAGACCCAGTATATATTGATCTTTACTATGAARTTTGAAAACATATTTCCAAATTGTGCTTACTTACTTTATTTATTGATCTATTTTGGTGCTGCGGATTGAATTCAGGGATGCTCTACCACTGAGCTACTTCCACAGGCAGGTATTTATTTACTTATTTTGAGACAAGTTTTCCCTAATTTCCTAAGGCCAGACTCGAAGTTGTGATCTTCTTGCTGCAGCCTCCTAAGTCTCTGGGATCACTGGCATGTACCACCGTGCCTAGCTACATGTACATTTTTAAGGTCCTTGCCAACATGGCAAAGCTTATGAGCAGAATGCTGATATATTCTTTTCTTTTGATGGCAGCTATTGAAATAATCATTTTTTCTTATTATAAAAGGAGGACATTCATAGAAGACAAATGTTGAAAAACATTTTTTTCTATCAAAAAAATCAGTAATCATTTCAGAGAAAACCCTGTGAACAACTTGTGAATCCACTTCTAATTTTGCATATGTATTTATATATGCTTGTGAGTAGCTCTCTAAAAGTTGGGATCAGAGCTGAGCGTGGTGGCACACATCTGCAATCTCAGCTACTTGGGAGGCTGAGGCAGGAGGATAATATAAATTCAAGGTCAGGCTGGGCAACTTAGGAAAAAAAAACTTGTATCAAAATAAAAATACAAAGGATTGGGGGATGTAGGTCAGTGTTAGAATGCCCTGGGTTCTATCCCCAGTAATGAAAAATAAAATTGAGATCATAAACATCAACTGTTAAAAACTTGTTATGATTTTACATAATATTAAATAATAGACATTTTATTCATATTACTAAGTAGTTTTCTGAAACACAGTACTGATGGCTGACTACAGATGTTTCCCATGGTTATCCTACACATTGTTTTACTCTTCAATGTTCTTAAAGACTGGGCTGTTTTTAGTTCTCAGATTTCGAACTAACCTGACTGTCTCTATGGAAGAGTACTTTCAGTAAGCACATCGGAGGCCAGGACTTCCAGCCTGCTTTCCATCAKACAGGTCTCACCATCTCTTACCATCTCTGTTCTTATGCACAAATGGATCCCTACAATAATATAGGTGGCAATCATGCCTGCTTTAAATTTTTTCTGTTTCTTTCAAAAAATGTGATTTAACATGCTTGATAATGCAAACATACAAAAGTAATTATTAAGGACATATATGATATAAAAAGAAGACTCCCATAGCATGTCTTCACAGCTACTTGATGTCTGGAGTGGCCAGAAAGGTCAAGAGGCAGTGAGTGGCAGTCTTATGCCCCTGAGGATGTCAGTGGTACTTACCAGCTTGTTGATACCGCCATGCTGTCTCACAGCCCGCCGGGCTCTCTTAAACTTGGCAACGTTTGCAATGGTCTCAGCTGCCAAACACTTCAGACTCTTATATGAAGAATCAAGTATACTAACCATAATTGGTAAGCCACCAAGGTCAACAATATTACGTCTGATTTGAGGATTATGACTGATTTCCTTCAGGATTTTTAATGAACCAATCTACATGGGAAAAAAAGTGATAGATGAATGAGTGCTTAATACATAACCAGAGCTATGTTTAAGAAAATTCAAGTCTATCTAAAATCCTTCCCCAATTAAGTTTTTTAAGAAACAGTTTCCATTCCCAGGGGTGACACACATCCTCCTATTTCTCTTCATTAATGCAAACAAACATTCATTGTTCCAGATAAAGCAAGAGAAAGAAGAAAAAGCAGGGAGGAGAGGGCACACTTAACAGAAAAAGCAGGTTATGAGCAAGAATAGCAGATAAAGATAATAAATGGGGGCTGGGGCTGGGGCTCCATGGTAGTGCAAGGCCCTGGGTTTGATCCTTAGCACCACATAAAAAAAGTAAATAAAATAAAGGTATCCAAATACAACTAAAAAATAAATATTAAAAAAAAAAAGATAAGAAACATTCAGACTCCTACAGTTTCAAAGAAAGCCATGAGAATTGGGTCCAAGAATTCTCAACCATTGTGAAAATGCCACTCACCTTACATTTGACTTCATCTGTATCAAGCAAATTTATTAAAACTTCAAGGCCTCCAACATCTCTGATCGCCAGTTGACAGGTCTCTTGAGCTAAATTGAAATCCTTCATTGAACACAAAGCAATCACTGTTGCAGTCTGATTTCCTCCCTAGGAAGATGCAATGCCACAGAAAGGTTAAATAAAACCATTTTCCCATAGAAATAGACCAAATGGTTACAAATCCATGAACTAGGAAATATGTCTCCCCATACATAGCACATTAATCTTTTCTWAAAGTTCTCTGAGTGGGGCTGTAATTTGTTTAATGAATCGTGTGGAGTTGAAGCATGAAAAAGCTGTACAGAGCATCATAAAACGTTATTCTAATTAAGAGTCAACATTTAAAGGTGGTCTGTCTCCTTTAAACAGCTATAACATTAGGTAATATTAATACRTTAAAGAGAGTCAAGGGACATGCCTGAAGAGAGCGACTGAGGAAGGGAAGTTGTATGCCGCATTAAGAGAGGGAACCCCAGTTCCTGAACAGTGTTTTGTGCAAAGCAACCCAAGTTTGAAAATCATTCCTACAGACTATGGTGCTGTGAAATATATATATTTGGACTTTGTTCCTGTTTATGGCATATGACACCTAAAACCTGTATAATATTCAAAGTGGTAAGTATATTTTATATGCTGAAGTTGACTGATGCTGGCCTCCCCTACTCAGCTTCAGGATGGGAGCCCCTCACCAGAAAGATCAAGGTTACATTAAAAGTTGAAAATTTTAGTTCCAACCCATTAGCCTCTGGAGAGGTGTGGGGACAGGTACATGGAGTGCTGCATACATGGCATGCATTAAGGGTGTCCAAGTGGCAGGCCACTCCCCCTCATGGTAGGCATGTGAGCAGCAAACCGTTTACCCCATAGGAACAGCCCTGGGCATGAGGCCATGTGTTGTAGTCCCTGTGCTTGCTCCACAGCCCACACCTCGATTGGTGGCTGCAAAGACAGTTAGCAGACATTGCAATGGTGACTGCCTGTAATCTGCTTAGCTACTGCTTGAGTATATACATGGTAACTGCGCAATAAAATCAGACCTGCTTCCTGTTTGGTCTCTGGAGGTCTTGATTAGTGACTCTACAGCCACACTCTCCTCTACCCTGTTCCGTGGACCTCCTTGCTGGACGAGAGAGAGCCCACACAGGGAGGTGTTATGGTTTAGCTGTGGTGTCCCCCAAAAGTCCATGTGTCAGACAATGCAAGAAGGTTCAGAGGAGAAATAAATGGGTCGTAAGAGTCTTGACCTAATCAATGATTTAATCCCCTGACAGAGATTAACTGAGTGGTAACTGAAATGATAGGGTGTGGCAGGAGGAGGTGGGAATTGGGGCATGGCTTTGAGCATATGTTTCAGTCTGGCCAGTGGAGTCTCTGCTTCCTGATGAAGTGAGCTGCTTCCCTCTGCCACACTCTTCTTCGGCCATGATGTTCTGCATCACTTTGAGCCCTGAGAAATGGAGCTAGCCTTCTATGGACTGAGACCTCTGAAACCATGAACCCTCAAATAAACCTTTTCTCCTCTACAATTGTGCTGGTTGGGTCATTTTTGGAGTGAAAAAGCAGACTAAAACAGGAGGGGAGGAGGAATGAGGTTAAGTTGATTACCAATGGCGAATGATTTCATCAGTCATGTCTATGTAATTAAGTCTCAGAAAATAATCCTAAATAATAGCTGAACACATGGAGGTTTTTGGAGGATGGCTCAGCCAGAGCAGACATGGGAGTCTGAGCCCCTTCCCCCATACCTTGCCCCTAAGCATCTCTTCATCCGTATCCTTTGTTATGTGCTCTGTGATAAGCCAGTGTTTCCCAGAGTCCCCTACATGCTCTAGCAAACTAATCAAACCCAAGGAAGGGATCGTGACACCCCAGTTTACAGAAGCATAGGTCACAACSTGGGCCTGGTGATTAGCATCTCAAGAACACCCTGGAGGACTGAGCCCTCAACCTGAGGGCAGAGTGTGTCAGAACAGAATTGAATCAGAGATGAGAAGACATCCATCTGGTGCTTGCTGCTGCAGGATTGGTTGCCCGTTGGTGGGGAGAAGTTCCTACACCTTCTGAGGTCACAGAAGTCTTCTGGGTTGACTCATGTGGCGTGAGAGCATGTGGCATACTTTTTTTTTTTTTTCTGCATAGGTGTACATGGAACAGAAAGTCTAGAGAAAGGTGTGGAAGCYGGAGAGCAACTGAGATGGGGACCTAGAGGAAGAGAGTGAGTGAGGCCTGTGGGGAAAGAGGAAGCAATTCCAGCAAGACCTGGAGATGGATGGGAGGGGCAGGATGAAGAGGGAAAAGAAAGCCTGTGAGTGGTGCTGGCCCAACACAGAGAACCAATGGAGTTGACKTCCACTGGACTCACCACCATAGGTGAAGAGTAGTGGTGAGCTATTCTTTTAATTAAAATTAATCTGAGAGAGTAAACATTTTTAATGATTGTCAACCAGACCTGCCGGGAAATTAAAATCAGAATTCACTACAAGAATCTCAAGGAAGGTCCACTGGTCATTACCGCTTTGAAAAGCTGAAGAACATGGCCTAGTGCATGCCACTCCTATTGCCGCTGAGACTGGCTGATTTAAGTTCCAGCACACGCACCAAAATGATTGACAAGACACAAAAGCTGCATTTATGTTGCTAAGAAACTATTTTTATAAAAGGTGCTCATAAAAGACAGCTTTTGGTTCATACTTCAAAATAGTACCAATGGTCCCAAATCCCTCTTTTTTTTTTTTAAAGGAAAATACCTTTGAATTGTCTGTTTTCATTGGTGATCATTTAATGTTGCCATTACCTAATAAACATGCATGATTTGAATGCTCCCTCCAACTCGTGTTAACATTGAATTGCCGTTATCATGGCATTTGAAGCGATTAAGTCATGAGGGCCCTCTGCCTTCACAAAAGGATTCATTCCACGATCCCACAGTGGATTAAGCTTCCCAGGAGTGGCTTTGTTATAAAAGAGATTTCTTTCTTGCTCTCTCTTCTCTCTCTCCCTCTCTCTCTCTCTCTCTCTCTCTCTCTCTCTCTCTCTCATACATGCCCTCTTGCCATGTGATTGATGTAGTCTGCCATTCAAGGCTCAAACAGCAAGAAGGCCCTCACCAGATGCCAGCCCTTGATATTGGACTTCCAAGCCTCCTTAGAACTGTGAGAGATAAATATCTTTTCTTTATAACTTATCCCATCTTCATATTCTCTCTCTCTCTATTTTTTTTTTTTTGTTGTTGGTGGTGGAGGGGAGGGTACTGACTGATTCAGAGGCACTTATCCACTGAGCCACATCCCCAGCCCCATTTTGTTTTTTATTTAGAGACAGGGACTCACTAGTTGCTTAGCACCTCGCTTTTGCTGAGGCTGGCTTTGATCCTCCTGCCTCAACCTCCCAAGCCACTAGGATTACATGTGTGTGCCACTTCACCCAGCCATATTCTCTTAAAGCATCAGAAAATAGGCTGACATATGAAGAAAAATACATAAACATTATATATTTATATATCGAAATATGTAGTTCTTTATATTATATAAATTCTTACTTGTTAGTATTTTAAAATATATCATAAAAAGTTTTAAAAGTTAAAATATATAATAGATTTTACATATATATATATATATATATATATATATATATATATATATATATGGCTTAGCACAGAAAATAGAAATTACTAACAGACTGCCAAGCCCCATCTTCCTTTAAGTCACACATGCACACATATGCAAATCTTCTTGCAAATTCAATACAATATATTACTGCTAAAATAAGAATCTGAAATGGGATTATTACAGGGCATAGAGTGAAGGACCTGGGTGTGATGGTGCACCCTGTAATCCCAGCAACTTGAGAGGCTGAGTGAGGAGGATCATAAGTTCAATACCAGCCTTGACAACTTAGCAAGACTCTGTCTCAAAACAAACAAAACAACATAAAACAAAATAAAACAAAGAAAAGAAAAAATGCTGAGAATGCAAGCTCAATGGTAGAGTGCCCTGGGCTCAAACATCAGAACCAAAAAAAAAAAAAAAGAAGGAAAGGTTTAGACTTCAGCCTTTTTCTGACTCCTTTTAAGAAAATTCCTTCCACTTCTCTAGAAATGTTATGAACACATGTCCTGAGGTGATGTCATGAACAATACCTATTTTTCATACTTATTCTCCCTATGGGTAAACCAGGCTACCCTTATATTTAAGATTGAGTTTAAAATAACAAGAAYCTTAACTTTTATTATTTACATTTTAAGTAAGTTACCTTTTATAGCTTTTAGTATCTTTTTCTTCTTACTATCAAGAAAAATGTCACCAACACCATTTTCCATAGTGGGTTTTAAAATATAAAATAATAATTCCTCTATTAGTCAAGTTACTAACTCCCTTATTTGGGGATATGAGAAGAACACACGCAGTGTTTTTATTTTCTTTGACTGAAAAACAGAAGTCTGATATTTTGTAAACCTTAAAGAAGAATGTACATAATTAATTAACAAAAATGAAATGACACAAAAAGAATAAGCAAAAAAAGTAAGAAAAAAAAGGATTCTTTTAAGAAGCCTCTTTCTCCAAATTTAAATGGTTAAAAGGAGGCAGAAAATTCCCTGGGGGGTTTCAGAAGGAATACAGCTGGACTCCTTTATTAAGAGTTTGAAAATCAAAACCAAACTCAGAGCTTCGGAGAGAGGGAGATCCTTGGGCACAGGGTTCTGGTCTTAAGCATGACTAGGAAGCAAAGAGAGACCTGGGGCAGCCTATCATGCTTCAGTCAAACCCAGAGCCTTCTCCCAGCCCAGGACTTTTTCAGAGAAGAAAGCATCGTCTGGATATTCTCAGTTGTGCATGATCAAGGATTCTCTTGACTGTTATTCTTGCTTTATAATATTTACTTTGGTAGCAATTTTCTGCTTATGCACTCAGCAAAATCTTTGTTTCTTATTTCAAGTTGTCTTAATTTTTGTTGTCTAGACTACTTCTATTTTTGAGATTTCATTTTTTACCCTTTAACYAATCACATACATTTTTTTAAAAAGTTGCCTCATTGCAGCTGATGTCCAAAAGGTAAAAGTTTGTATTTCTCTGAAATATCTATCTCAGGGAGATTTTGAGGTCAAAAAA